TGCTAGATTGCTCATCTACAAACGTCATTTTAGACAGCCCTAGCCTCAATTCTATGAAAGCAGTGTTGCCTACATATATACCATCTCCTACTATGCTTACCTACAAAAGTAGGGATTAGAAAAGTGCAAGGGGACCAAGTAGTGGCCATAGAATGTTATGTGGCATCCATGCGAGAGAAAAAGCAACAAGATATTCTCCAGATAAAGTCCTTGGACCACAGGGTGGAGAAGGAACGCTCTAACCAGTGGAGGACCTTGAACCTATCCAAATTGGGGAGCATCCTAAACAAGTTACCTACATTGGGAGAATGCTCGGGAAAGATATGAAATTAATGCATATAGAATTTCTATACTCCAACATAGATGTTTTTGCTTGGAATCAGTCGGACATGGGTGGAATAGACCCAACAGTGGTTGTACATAAGTTGAATGTCAATCCAGGCTATAAACTGGTATGACAAAAATGAAGAAGCTTCGCCCCAGAGAAAAACCAAGCAATAAAGGAGAAGGTAATGAAGCTTCTCCATACAAAATATATTAGAGAAGTAGAGTACCCATTATGTTTGGCAAATGTGGTACTAGTAAAGAATAAAAGTAGAAAATGGCGTCTATGTGTCGATTAACTAACTTGAATAAAGCATGCCTAAAGGATTGTTTCCCACTGCCTAGTATTGATATCTTGGTTGATGCAACGGTAGGATATGAGCTGCTCACCTTCATAGACACATGTTCTAGCTATAACCAGATAATGATGGATGAGCCAGACCAAGAAAGATCTACTTTATAATAAAGGAAGGAACATATTGGTACAAGGTCATGTCATTCGATTTGAAAAATGTAGAAGAGACCTATCAGAGGCCGGTTAACCACGTTCAAATATGAAATTTGTAATAGAACAATATGTCGACATATTATTCAAATCTTGATCCAAACATGATATAATAGAGATTTGTTAAAATTGTTGATCGATTATTACTCAATATATCAACACATGCCATGTAGTGCTTAAAATCAATACGTGCCAAACATAATTTTTTATGAGAAATTCAATATTCAACACTTAAAAAATTCACATTCAGTATTTCAGTGCTTAATTTTTAGTTTTATCAAACATTAACTAGATATGTTCAAAAAAAAAAAATCAAACAATACCTAGGCCTATCAATAAATTGGATTTTATCTAAATCTGATTTCTGAGATATGGATTGATATTTCTAATCGATTATTCGAGTCTGAATTCAAATCCATTGTATCATAGTTTTGATATGCCAAAATTTGATCCGATTGTGATCCAATTATCTTACCATTCAATTTTTCAACGCTTAAATTTTAGTTTTATCAAATATTACCTAGCTATCTATAAATCGAATTTGATCTAAATCTATTCAGTGAGATATGAATTGATATTTTCTGGTCGATTATGTTATCGATATGCCAAAATTTGATATGATTGTGGTCTAATCTTACTCTTACATAGCTTTAAATATAAGGTGAAAAATGTAGGATTATTTAATGGAATTGAGTGACAATTAAGATGTAATGTGTTAAAATTTAGCTTGAATCGAGCTATTGAGATGGGAGTAGGTCTTTGGATTAAAATTTTATTTTCAACCGATTTGAAGATGAATGATTAATTGAATCAAATTGCAAATTAAATTCAAATTCAACTTAGTCAAAATCTGATATAAATCCAACCCAGTACCTGACCTAATTGACAGTGATTTAAGATATATATATATTTTTAAGTAAAAAAGTGAGTTGATAGTTTTTGTCTGTCCTGGTAAGTTAGAGTTACGAGCTTGGTGGGATAAGTTTTCTGAAAGGGATTGGTCAAAGAAGACTTTTGATTCATAGTTTTGGCCCCCACAAGCACTCCACCCACGCCCGATATTCCCAAGGGTGTAGTGTGCATTTCTTGACCAATTAAATATGAGATCGTGTTTGCGTTAACTTGTTAATGATGGACCCTACTTTCAAAAACCGTTTTCATTTAATGCACAGTAACCATAAGGGCATAAACAAATAAAAAATAGTTTTTTTTTTTATTTCCATTTTCGGCCAGCCAAAATAATGGCAAACAACTATATATAAACACACCTAGAGTCGGACCCCGTGCAATGTATGAATCATCCCCTTCTTTCTCAATCTATTTTATTTTATTTTTATAAGTTTCTTTTAAAAGTAAGTAATAATATCATAATAATTACTGTATTACAAAATTTCACATTTAAAAAATATTAAATAATTGACAGTTAGAGGGATTTTAGAGGTAATTTGTTAGGGTAATTATTGAAGACATTTGATAGAATGTGATTGGAAGATTGAGAATTTAATAATTTAAAATTCTTAAAAATTATAGATGTAGGAGAAAAGGCATCTTATAAACCCTCTTCCTAAAAAATTAATTGTTTTATACATATAATACTAGTGTTATGGCTCTGTGCGATTTATTGTGTTATTTATTTGTTTTTCTCTTTCACCTTGTCACTTAAGAAGGTAAATACAAAAATTAAACTAAATTATTGAATAGTACAAATAATTTTATGAAAATAAATTTGACAAGAATGGTAGTTGGTTAATGAGAAGTTGAGGGGTAGGTACTAAAAACACATGGTATAATGTAATTGGAAGAAGGATTATCCCCCTCCCCCTCCCCCTCCCCAAAAAAATATAAAATATGTATGATAATTAAAAAATTCAAAATTGTAGAAAATTAGGAATTGTGGAGGAAAGACATCTTAAGCCTTCTCCCTTTTAATTTGTTTGTTTTATATATATACCAGTAGCAGGGGCGTACGATGCACACTATTATCAACGACCGATTGGAAGAAGCCTTAAATTTTGAATTAAAAAATTATAAATTCTAAAAAAAGCAAAAGGAAAGACTTCTCAAGCAATCTTTTCACCTAATTTGATTGTTTTTTATATATAGATAGATATAAATATATAAACTATAGATAGACTAGTTATAACTCGTGTCTGAAGGCACTACAAAATGTAAAATTCGAATATTCAAAAAATCGATTTCATTATATTAATTTTTTAAAAAAATATTAACTATAAATTAATCAAATATTAAATGATTAAATATATGATAGAAATGAGTGATGTGATATTTTTAGGGAAGAAATATATAAATGATTAAACATATGACAAAAATAAGTGATGCGATATGACGTTTGAGTCTGACAAATGAATGAGGGATGAGGTAAGTGATTGGTAATGATTTTGAAGGAAAAAATATGACTAGAATAAAATTCAAACACTCCTGTTTTATTATATAAATAATATAGATGTAAGGAAAACTCTATGGTACCTAAGTTTTTTTTTGGGGTACCAGTATCATTGGTTACTACTTTATATAGTAAAGTTATAATTTTGACATGAAAAGTTACAATTGTTCAATGTATATCATGATCGATCACAAATACCTATAATTAATCATGAAAAACACAGTATAGATCCGAACATTTTATAATCGATAATGTCATTTGAAGTCGTAACTTACATCTTAAAAATTTTGTAACTTAATTTTTAAAATTTATAATTTTTGGTATTGATACTGCTGCCCGTACAGTTGAAGTCCCCTAGTTGTAAAGGGCTTGTTAGTGGTCACAAATTTTATGTATACATATTTATCCCCGGAATGATTAATGGGACTTCTTATCTGTCTGCATATTTATTCAATTTTGTAAACTTTTTTTGTATCGTAATTTATAACTTATTTTTTTAATTTATTTTCGTTCATGTAAAAATATAATTTAAACTCACTTTTTTTTTAATGTAAAATTATATTTGCTTTCAATGTTATCTATTTGAAAACATATTTTAAAAATGCATTTTTGAAATAACTTAAAGATAACAACACGAAAACAATGAAGTTAAAAAATAATTATAATTTGGTCTTAAACGTTCTAGTGTTAATTATTTATTTTCAAATAAAAATATATATACAAGGAGTTATGTATTTATCAAATTTTATAAAAGGGACCTAGGTCCACTCTCTCGAGAAACAACTTTATCGGCTTTTCACACGTATTTTTCTTCTCATTAAACTTCAAAAATAGAAGGTAGAATGAATACGGCGTATAGTCTTTGTTATAATTTGGCAAATTTCAAAAAAAAAAAAAATTATCTTGCAAGAGAGAATCTGTCAAAAAGAGTTTTCTGTTGTCCAACAGCTCTGACTCTCGGTAATAGTACATGCGAATATGTCAGGTAAAAGAGGGTCAGAAAGAGCAGAGAGAGAGAGAAAACCAAGGGGAGATTCTTTTCTCCTTTCCTCAGGGTAGACTGATGTTCAAGAGCCAGCCTTTCCGGCAATACCCAGTTGCTATATCATCCTACGTTCTTGCCTTTTCCTTTCCTGCATAGTCTTTTCATTATTGCACAGGCTGTCACCCTCCTAAGGTACCTCTCTGTCTCTGTATCTGTCTCTGTCTCTGTCTCTCACGCGCACACACACACTCAAACATCCCCCCACATCTTTTATGTATTGTTGTGTTTTTTTTTTAATATAAAATAGTTTATGTATGTATATGTTGTGTATGTACAGTTGGTCTCTGGTACAGAGGTATTGATAATGAAATGAGTCTGGAGTGGTTCCTTTTTGTCTCCTCCTCTCTCCGGAATTATTTATCCTTTACTGCCTACATTCCCCAAATTTGTCTCTAATTAGAAGGACCCTCATCGTTTCTTCACTAAACTTAGATTCATGGATTTTTTTCAGAAAAAATGCATCTGAAAAACTCTATACCCAGATCAAATCAAGCCTTAGAAACCAGTTATTGAAGCATTTCTGAGATGGGTCTCTGTTATTTTCATTGACAATTGAGGTATGTATGTGGCTATTACCTCGATGGGCCTATGCGTTTTTTTATGATCATTTACTGAGTCCTTTTGCCATTGTTTCTAGAGGATCACCAACTGTTTGTGCTTAAACCAGAAAAACAGAGAAGTAATAGATAAAAAGGGGAGTTTTAAGGTCTTTTTGTGTCGGAATGAGGGATTTTCCTTCTTGTTTTGGGGAAAATGGGGTTCAGGTTGCTGATTTCTCATCATCAAGTACCACAAATAAAGTTGCTCAGAATTTGGTCAATTGTGTATATCAATGTCGATTACGAGGCAAATCATGTTTGATTTCTGTTACATGGAGTAAGAATTTGATGGGTCAAGTTCTTAGTGTTGGTATTGATGATAGCACCAATCAATGCCTCTGTAAGGTTGACATAAAGCCGTGGTTGTTCTCTAAGAAGAAAGGGTCAAAGAGTTTAGAAGCAGATTCCCACAAAGTTGACGTTTATTGGGATCTTTCTTCAGCAAAATTCGGATCCGGGCCTGAGCCATTGGAGGGATTCTACTTGGGGGCTGTCTATGATCGGCAAATGATTTTACTTCTTGGGGACATGAGGAAAGAGGCTTTTAAGAAAACAAGTGCCACTCCTGCTTCGTTTAATTCTGTTTTCATTGCCAAGAAAGAACACATTTTTGGTAAGAAGATATTCAGCACCAAGGCTCAGTTTTGTGATAATGGAAAAGTGCATGACCTTGTGGTTGAGTGTGATACAAGTGGCTCCAATGACCCGTGCCTGGTGATTCGCATAGATAGCAAGACTATGATGCAGGTGAAGCGGCTCCGGTGGAAGTTTCGTGGAAACCACACCCTCTTGGTTGATGGCCTTGCAGTGGAAGTATTTTGGGATGTTCACAATTGGCTCTTTGGTACATCACCCGGAAATGCAGTTTTCATGTTCCAGACCAGCCTTTCAGCTGAGAAGTTATGGGCCAGCCAACCCCTCTGCGATCCCCATACACTGCATTGGTCCTGGTCTCAGAGATTTCAAGATTCCCAAACACAGTGTCTTGGTTTCTCACTTACTTTGTTTGCTTGGAAGAATGAATAGAAGAGTCTAGGGCTGTTCATTGATTTCTAACAAGTACTTTTACTGAGCTAAGATTTTTATTAGCCATGCAATTTTATTATACTTGATTATAGTTGTGTTCAGTTGTTTTTCCTTGTAATTTTTACCCGAGTAACTCTAAACAATTTGAGGAGATTAGCGACTGTGCTTTTGGCTTTTTCTTGTATATTTTTTGGTTATTTTAGTTGATTGGATTTCCCATTCAATACTAATATTAGTTCACTACATGGTTAGGCAATGCTATCTTTGGTTGGTCTTTTGCAGAATAATATGACAATCCTGTATCTCTTTTACTTGTTGCAATATGATAACTGTTTTCATATTGAATGTGGGTGTGGTAAGCCTAGATGTATGCATGGGCTTCTTCAAATTTATGCATTGAATTAGTGTTTGAAACCTATTTTAATTTCTTTTTTATTTGTTAATTAACTGATTAGTTGAGTCAGATTTCATTCAACAATTTTAAGTTGATTTGACTAACAGAAAGCTCAGTGAAACTGTTGTTCTGACAGAGACATTATGATATTGCCATGAATACATTATGCATATAGCAGGTGTTGTGTGGGCTTTGCTGCAAGGACACTTCTCCTCAATGAGTAAAGGAACCAGTTATGGACAAGTATATAGTCTTGAATTTGGTACGAGTTCGGGTTAGTTTTCACTTTCCCTGCATCCTAACATACACGTTGTCGTATATGTAATCGAATGATGTTCTTACAGTATTTATGCCTCCTCCCAGGTATATACGCTGCAAATCTACCATATTCTTTAAATTCCCATGAGTAAAATCCTAATCTTTAGTTCAATTCATCTGGCTTATATATACTTGTGGCAGGTGCTGATTGTAACCCACATTGATGCAACATAGGTTCATGAGATATACCCTGTTTGTCCTTGGTACCTTATAATAATCTCTAGGGGAACAGATTTCGCCAGTAATTATATTATTTTCTGCAGTTTTTCCTTGTTTTTGTTTATGTTTGAATTTTAGTTGTTGCCTAGATTCACTCTTAGCTAAATGAGTTGCATGGTTTGTGTTTTTTTTTCCTCTCAGAAAGTATGACATAGTTTATCTTTCCAACCTCCCGAACCTAGATTTTTGTTGGTTGGAGGTAAGGCTTGCAACATCCTGAATATTGAAAACCATAGAGCAACATATATTGGCGTTCCAGACCTGGGGGTTGCATAAATGGGACTGATGACTAAGAAAAAGAAAAGGGAGCTGAAGGTCAACAGGTGATAACTAACATTCTTGAATGGATTGTTTAAAACTGAATCTCATATCAAGCAGATTAATAATAATTCTCGTAATAGCTGCTGATATTTTGATGTAGGCAGAGGGAGACATGAAGTTGCTCCGCGGAGTGGGATTAAAATGATCAAATGTCGAGGGCTGCAAAATAGATTGCAGCCATGGTTGGATGCACACACTGTATTTCTCCTCCTTCAAAGTGCCATGGTTTTGTAGTTTTGTGTTTAAGATGGAAAACTGGATTGAGAATGTATTGAGTAGAAGGAAATTTTGGGTCTGGTGTAGCATGCTAGACATTAATTATTATAGTTGCTCGTTTGGAGCCGGACATATCAGTGGGTAATTAGGTTATTGCACTTTTTCTTTTCAGGTTATTAGAAAAAGAATCAACCTTCAAAATTATCAATCAGATTCACTTGTTGGAGAATAGACTTTTGAGGTACCGTTTATCTTGAGATGAGAACTCCACAAATCCCATATTTTTAGAGATGTAGTTATTTGATTCAGAGTCCTAGGATTGAAAATCAGACATTATTTGTTTCTATGGGACTTTGCATGGTAGATTAAAACCATTTCAATACTTGCAAAATCATGTCTTACTTCAGCTTCTTGATTCTTCAGATTGGTATGCTGCCCCAAGCATCCTATGCATGCATTCTATGGGACTTTGCACGGTAGATTAAAACCATTTCAATACTTGCAAAATCATGTCTTACTTCAGCTTCTTGATTTCTTCAGATTGGTATGCGGCCCCAAGCATCCTATGCATGCATAGTGAGGGTCGCAATTTTTGCTACACTGAAAATCTCCCTCAAAATGAGATGCCTCCACATTATGTATTTAGATTTTGAATCACATTGATGCCTCTCATTATAACACTCATTTGTAACTGCAAGATCCTGAACCAGTTGGCTTGAACTGCAAGATCCAGACAAAATGAACACGATATGCATGGTTCAAGAGCAATTTGTGATATAGTTTAGCTTTAGCATCTTTAAATACAAATTAGTATGGATTTGAAAATTCAAGTTGGTGTTTTAATAGAAGTGTTGCAGGGGACTCAAGCAGAGGAGAATTGAGTTATAGATAAGCATTAAGCACTAAATGTACATCTGTGAATGATATGCTACTTAAAGCGGCAAAGAGGAAGAGTTACACTAATCAGCAGATCATTTGGACGTAGAAATATAATTACTTTAAGATGTCCAGTCATGACTGTCGTAGGAGCAAAAGTAATGATGGTTTGGTGTAGCAAGAATATGAAGGTTGATCTATGGAAGATAGGCTATAGAAGTTTCTAGGAAAGACTAAAAGCCAAGAAAAACATAAGCACTGATGAAGATGAATATACAATGCATACGATGACCGTGATGGTCTTCTGTTCATCTGATCTGATTCCAAGACAGCTCCATCTAATTTGAAAGTGCAGCCCTGAAGAACTCATACATTGCCATACTTGGCAAATCATGTATTTGGGTATGTGACATTTCATTTCTTTGAAATACGTGTCTTTCACTTGATTAGGAATTCAAAATAATGTGTTTTTGTCTGAAAACAATGTGATGGGGATTGTGTAGGAATTAGATAGATATTATAGATTAATTATGATAATTATTTAGATACTTTTAATATTTATCTTTTAAATAATTTTTTTTAACTTTTGAGGGTTAATTTATTATTATTTATTTGCTTTAGGGTTTTAGTTTTCCTATATAAAGGGATGCATGTTAGAGTTTTATTTATATTAGACTTTGATTATTATTGATTACTGATATTGAATCTTGATATTGCTTTCCCTAAATTTTCTCTCTTTTCTCACTCCCTTCTTCTTTTCTCATCCCTAATTCTTCTCTACTACATTCTACATCAATTTAGTATTATAACTAATACAATCTACATTAATTTAATGATGTGGATTATGTAGGAATTGGATAGATATTATAGATTAAATATGATAGTTATTTAGAGACTTTTAATATTTATCTTTTAAGTAATTTCTTTTAACTTTTGAGAGTTTATTTGTCATTATTTATTTATTTTAGGGTTTTAGTTTTCCTATATAAAGGGATGCATATAAGGGTTTTATTTAGATTAGACTTTGATTATTATTGATTACTGATATTGAATCCTGATATTACTTCTTCCTCAAATTTTCTTTCTTTTTTCATCCTCTTATTCTTCCCTTCTCATCTCTAATTCTTTCTTACTACGATTTACATCAATTTTGTATCAAAGTTAATACAATCTACATCAATTTAGTATCAAAACCCAATTTTGATTCATATAAATCACAAAAAAAAATTACTATTCATCAGTGACACTGTTCATCACCACCAACCACTCATTGTCCAGTTAAAAAAAAATAAAATTTGAAGCAGTATTGTCGCAAAGAAGGCGATTAGACCAGGTAGGGTTTTGTTTGAGAACAACAACTTCAACGAAACTTGGGGAAGTAGACCTATTGCCAAAAATTCTAAAATTATAGAAACATCCCCAATAAAATTAGAAACTTGCAGAATCACCTTAGAAAATTCTAGAAAGTTTTAGAATTGCAGAAACAATCCCAGAAGGTCCAAAAAATTGCAAAATTACCCCCATAAGTTTCAACAAATTGCAAAAATACTATCCAAAAGTTTTAGAATTATAGAATTACCCCCAAAAGTTTTAAATAATTATAGAAATATCACCCCAAAAGTTTAAAAAATTATAAAATCATCCCCAATAAGTTTCAAAATTTCTTCTTGATTATGATGTGCATACTTCCATAGAAATTTGAGACTAATATTTTTATTCATTGAAAAATTAGAGAATTTACAAAGCGTCCAAAACATATTTTCTTCTATTTAAGTTTGCTCACTTCTTGTAATTATCAATTGCATTATTGAACTCATTCTTATGTTCTCATCTTTTAAAGTCAATCATGAGTTCATATGATCATTATGATGCATATTCATATATTTATCCAACATCAAGAATGTATTAAATTCACAGGTCTCCACAACGTCCTATACCTATTCTACTTCTAGAGTTTTTCGGAGTCATCATAAAATCCATAGTAAGTTTCAGTTTTATTATGAAGATTATCTAGAATACTACTCTGAGACACTTAAGTCACATAATAGTTACCAATATCATGCTTCCCAAAGTCATCATTAAGGTCAATTTGGATTTATCTTCAATGTCATAGTGACAATTCAAAAGCCCAAATTTCCCTAGAGAAAAAAGTTGAAATCTTTGAAATTGGAGTTGTCAATACTAAACATTCACTCGGCCAATTATGTGAAGAGTGTAGAGGAATAAAAGACCAATTATCTGAATTAACAACTCAACTTTCACATTTGGCTAAAATTCTTGCAAGTCAACAAATGAAAGAAAATAAGGACAAGTCTCCCGTTTCACCTAATGTCGGACACCGACATAATGATAGTCATATTTTTGTTCCGTTGGACCTTCATGCTTTCAATCCTTCAAAACATACTTTCAATCATTTGAACATTGATACTACTGATGAGATTATGTTTGATCCTATTATGTTTTCTACCTCATCGAAGCCAAAAGTTGAATCATCACTAACCAATGAACTTGAAGAAAAATTCATTCAATTGGCTTCTATGCAAGATGTTGAACATATTGAGTTATCTATTTTAGAATCTATTGGCGATTATTCTGTCTACTATATCAAATCATGATGGCATTGTTATGGATTCTTCTTCATATGAGATTGTTGATTTTGTTTCAGATTCTTCTCCATTTGAGATTGTTGACATTGTTCTAGATTCTGCCTCACTTGAGAGTGTTAACTTTGATTCTTTGTCTACTGTTAAGTGTTCAGTTGAGTCTATACTTTCTTATTTTCAGCACC